GAGCGAAACTCCGTCTCAAAAAAAAAAAAAACAAAAAGAATAAAGAGCACATGGAGAGCATCATGTGTGTGCCAACCTGGGACCATACAGTCATCCCTCGGCATCCATAGGGGATTGTTCCAGGACCTGCAGTGGATACCAGACCCCGAGATGCTCAAGTGTCTTACATAAATGCTGTTGTATTTGGTATAAGCTATACACGTCCTCCCCTGCATTTTAAATCATCTCTAGTTTACTTTTTTTTTTTTTTTTTTTTTTTGTGAACAGAACAATAAACACCTTTATTACATAGGTGAAGAAAGAAAACAAGGATTTATTTGCCTTTCCGGGCCTTGATTTTTCTAAGATAGAACTCCAAGTCTTTGCCCTCTAGCACATAGCCATCTGCTCGGCCACACTGTCCCGGCCTTGAAGCGATGCACGCAAGAAGCTTGCCCTGCTGGAACCGCTCCTCCAGGAGACTGCTGATTTTGGCATTCTTTTTCCTTTCGTCGTATTTCTTCTGAATTTTTTTAGATCGTTTTTTTGTTTAAAATCTCTTCTTCCTCAGGAGTCAGCTTGGCTCCCTTCTTGCGGCCCAGGGGCAGCGCATAGTTGGACTCGTACCACTGTCGGTACGGCGTGCTGTCGATGAGCACGGTGCAATTCTTCACCAAGGTCTTGGTACAGACCAAATCGTTGTTAGACGCATTATAGACAACATCAATGAGCCTTGTTTTTCGAGTACAGCACTCTGAGCCCCAGGAGAAATCCCCCACGTCCAGCCTCAGGGCACGGTATTTTTTGTTACCACCCCACACACAGACCGTGTGGATGAGGCGGGGGCCAATCTTGGTGTTGGCAGCCGGGCACCCCAACTCATACTTCCGCTTCTTGTGGTAGGGCTTTCTCTTCCCCCGGTCTTGCAGCGCTTGTGCCAGTTGTCCCAAGAGATGCCCATCGCTTGGCGCTGGCTGGAAAGAGACATCTCTAGTTTACTTATAATACCAAATGCAATGTAAATAGCTGTTTTACTGTATTGTATAGGGAATAATGACAAAGAAAAAAGAAGTCTGTACATGTTCAGTACACATAAGCTATCCTTTTTTTCCTGAATATTTTCAATCTGTGGTTTGTTGAATGAGAATGCGGAACCCATGGATGCAGAGGGCCAGCTGTGCTTAGGAAACATGCCTCATTGTGATACTTACTTAAGCTGATGGTTTAAGTTAAAATTCTGGTCTGTAGTCCGAGAATGAAACAAACTAGATTATAAATTTATGATCATAAATTATAAAATCTGTATTCGAACAGATATAAGGATTGTGGACATCTAAGTGTATTGTAACTGATTGCCTTTTAAGGCCTTATTTTAGAGCCTCTTTTGGGCTATGGTTATAATACAGATAGCCTGTTAAATCAGTATTTGGGAGTGAATTTTTTGATGTGAGTGATTTGTTCCCTTATGATGTTTATTCTATTATTAGATTTAAGAAACAGATGTGATTTTCTGGCTTGATATCTATGTGAGTTCCGTGTTCTGCCTGTCTGACAGGACATTTTATTTAATTATATTTAATAAAACCTAACAGAAGGTTATAATTTTAAAATCTTTCCCCTTGGATCTCATAAAACATTAAGTATAACTCTTATTTAACCATAATCCTTGTCATACTTTATTACCATGATTAAAAATTATTATGCCATTATATAGAGAATATAATGTACTCCAGGTAATTAATTTTTCCCTTTGGACTAATTAAAGGTTGAAAAGCTTCCTTGATTTTAGTAAGCAGTAAATCTAGTGAATAATACTTATTATGCCTCAGCGTTTTATGCTTATTCTCTTCTAGGTAACAACATCCATTTTATACACCGTGACAGGAATAGGTTGGATCACAAGCCTATCAACTCTGTTTTACAGCTTGTAGGAGTTCAGCATGTGAACTTTACAAACAGGCCTTCAGTCATCCATGTGTGACTTAAAATGGAACCAGTCAGTTTCAGCTGGAGCTTTTGGAATGTGACCTTCAATGCTGGGTGCAATATCCTTGTGCAGTGTCTAACCTGCTGTCCCTTCCCAGCCTTTGAGGACTTCGAGAAGGATAACGGATAACGAGGCCTTGAACTAGTGAACTGCATGCTCAAGAAGCATCAGTTGTGAAAAATGTGATACATACTTCCACTCTGTATAAAATTTTACACAAAATAACAAAAATGAATATACAAAATAGAACCTTAAAAGCCATAAAGTCATAAATACCGTTTAATTATTTTACATTATATATTCAGTCAATGAAAGATTTATTTGGCAATTAATATAAGTTCTGATGAAGAATATATAAAGGGGTGGCCAGGCGCGGTGGCTCATGCCTGTAATCCTAGCACTTTGGGAGGCCAGAGTTGGTGTATCACCTGAGGTCAGGAGTTCAAGACCAGCCTGGCCATCATGGTGAAACCCCATCTTAGAAACAAAAATTAAAAAATAAATTAATTAATTTTAAAAAAAAAATATATATATATATATAAAGGGAAGGGAGAGCAACACAAGACCATTGTATCAGTGAAGAAAGCAAAATACTAGATTCTGTCAACAATATAACTGCATTTTTGTGTGTATATATTTGTATTTTTGTATGCTTAGGAAAAAGAAGAAATGAACACCAAAATGTTGCCAGTAGGTATCTCTGTGTTAAGATTACAGTGTATTATTTTATTTTCTGTATTTTTCTCTATTTCCCAACTGTTCTGTAATGAGCATGATTAATATTGTAGGGCCAGGAAAAGGTCTTTAGACATTATATGACAGTTTTATGCCTACATAACAACCTTCACAACAGTGTAAATTATACAGGCTCTAGTCCACGTTTCCGTCCTAATTGCTTTACTCAGAGGAAGTGTGGCAATCTGAACATCTCACATACAGCCAGTGTCCATAGCACCTTCTCATTACACACTTGTTATCCATTTCACTAGGATTTTTGTGGATTGGGGGAGCTATTGAGAAAAAAATTTGTTCTAGATATTTAAGATATGTATTTAAAATATGGTCAGTGTGCTTTTTGAAAGGGAATTACAAGAATTTTTTTTTTCTTTTTTTTTTTTTGAGATCCATTCTTGCCCTGTCCCCCAGGCTGGAGTGCAATGGCACGATCTCAGCTCACTGCAACTTCCACCTCCTAGGTTCAAGCAGTTTTCCTGTCTCGGCCTTCCAAGTAGCTGGGATTACCAGCGTCCACCACCACACCAGCTACTTCTTGAATTTGTAGTAGAGACGGGGTTTCGCCATGTTGGCCAGGACTGGCCTGGAACTCCTGACCTCAGTGTGATCCGCCCACCTCGGCCTCCCAAAGTGCTAAAATTACAGACGTGAGCCACTGTGCCTGGCCAAGAATTGTTTAAAGTTTTAAAAACCTTGTAACTTAAATGTGTCCTGTGGTTTAGTTGTACATTCTGAGAGAGCTGCTATTTCTCATCCCCAAATTGCTCTTATTTAGAAGACTGTTGTCATCTTTTATTTTTGTAGAATCTTAATATGTTTAAGATTTCTTAATATTCTTAAGATTTCTGGGAAGTGTCCCAGAAATCCTGATGAAAAGTATAGCAAAATCAGAATTTTGGTAATTATTACCAAGCATAATACTGCTTTGAACTCAATACTTAAGCATATGAAGTTGCAAAAAAATTTAATGTATTCAAATATTCGAATACATTTTCATGTTTGTATAATCATGTTTTTATTCGATAAAAATGAAATTTCTCATTTAAAATTAAACTGTTTTGTGCTGTTTTTTTAATAGTAAAGGAAGACTGGTGACCCACCTTTGCTGATTTTAGACCTAAAACTGCTGCATCACAAGCTTGCACAAAAATTACATACCCTTGAGCAACATAGGTTCAAACTAGACGAGTCCCATTGTATGTAGATTTTTTTTTTTTTTTTTTTTTTTTTTTTTTTTTTGGAGACGGAGTTTCGCTCTTGTCACCCAGGCTGGAGTGCAATGACGCAATCTCGGCTCACCGCAACCTCCGCCTCCTGGATTCAGGCAATTCTCCTGCCTCAGCCTCCCGAGTAGCTGGGATTACAGGCACGCGCCACCATGCCCAGCTAATGTTTTGTATTTTTAGTAGAGACGGGGTTTCACCATGTTGACCAGGATGGTCTCGATCTCTTGACCTCGTGATCCACCCGCCTCGGCCTCCCAAAGTGCTGGGATTACAGGCGTGAGCCACCGCGCCCGGCCTTGTATGTAGATTTTTTTTCAAGTCATACCAAGTGTGCCTGCCTCTCCTGCCACCTCTTCCGTCTCTGCCTCACCTGAGAAAGCAAGACCAAGCCCTACTTCTGCTCCTCAGCCTACTCCAGGTGAAGACCAGACAGAAGACCTTTTTTTTTTTTCTTTCTTACCACATCATGTCCACTACCAAGAAATAATTACAAGGCATATGAAAAGACAGAAAACAATTTGAAAAGACAGAACGAGCACAAGAACCAGATTCAGATATGGCAAGGATGTTGGAATTAATCAGACCAAGAATTTTTTTTTTAACTGTGATTAATGTGCTAAAGGCTTTAAAAGGAAAAAGACAACATCCAAGAACAAATGGATAATATAAGCAGACAGATGGAAACTGTAAGAAAGAATCAAAAGAAATGCTAGCAGTTAGCAACATTGGAATAGAAATGAAGAATGCCTTGAATGGGCTCATTACTACACTGGATGTGACTGAGGAAAAAATCTCTGAGCTTGAGGATATGATAGTAGAAACTTTGAAAACTGAAAAGCAAAGGCAAAAAAGACAAAATATCCAAGAATTGAGAGACAACTGCAAAAGATGTAAGATGAATCATGGGAAATCAGAAGAAAGGAACAAACGAAAGAAATAACTAGAAGCAATAAGGACTGAAAATTTCCCCAAATTAATGTCAAACATCAGACTAGATTCAGGAAATTCAGAGAACAGCAAACCTAGTAAATGCCAAAAAAAAAAGACACCTGGGCATATCGTAGTCAAACTTTAGGAAATCAAAGATAAAAATCTTGACCAGTCTCAGTGGCTCACACCTGTAATCCCAAAACTCTAGGAGACCAAGGCAGGCAGATCACTTGAGGTCAGGAGTTTGAGCCCCGCCTGGCCAATGTGGTGAAACCACATCTCTAGTAAAAATATAAAAATTAGCCAGGTGTGATGGCACATTCCTGTAATTCCAGCATTTTGTGGGCCAAAGCAGGCAGATCACCTGAGGTCAGGAGTTCAAGACCAGCGGGGCCAACATGGTGAAACCCTGTCTCTCTTAAAAATACAAAAATTAGTTGGGCATGGTGGCATGTGCCTGTAATCCCAGCTACTTGAGGGTAAGGCACTAGAATCTCTTGAACCCAGAGGCAGAGGTTGCAGTGAGCCAATATTGCACACTGCACTCCAGCCTGAGTGAGAGTGAGACTGTCTCAAAAAAAAAAAAAAAAACTTGAATGAAGCCAGAGGGAAATAAACCACCTTACCTATTGAAGAGCAAAAGTAAGAATTACATCCAACTTCCCCTAGGAAACCATGCAAGCAAGAAGAGAGTGGAGTGAAATATTTAGTGTTAAGAGGAAAAAGTCACCAACCTAGAATTCAGTACTGTGCAAAATTATCCTTCGATAACTTTCTAACAAGGAAAAAAAATTATCCTTCAAAAGTGAAGGATAACAAACAACATTCTTCAGACAAAAAAATGAGGTACATTGTTGCCAATAGACCTGTCATGCAAGAAATATTTAAACAAGTTTTTCAGAAAGAAGGAAAGTGACAGTTTAGAAACTCAGATGTACATTTAAAAAAAAAAAAAAAGGAAGGGCATTGGAGAATAAAGAAGTAAAGGTAAAATAAATACTTTTATTTTTCTTACTCTTAGTTGATCTAACAGATAACAGTTCAAAATAATAGCAACAATGTGTGTTTATGTATACTTATATGTGTAGACAGATAGATATGCTTACATATGCTTATATATAAGTGAAATGAATGACACCAAAGATACAGAGACAAGATAGGAAATTGGAAATATTTTGTTATTATAAAGCATTTGCACTACCTGTGAAATGGATTTGTTGTAAATGGATATTGCAAATTCTAGGGCAACCAATACAATACAAAAAGTTTTAAAAAATATAATGTTCGTTGTGGGCGAAATTTAAAAATTAAAAAAATAAAATATAGGCCGGGTGCGGTGGCTCACACCTGTAATCCAAGCACTTTGGAGGCCAAGGCAGGCGGATCACCTGAGGTCGGGAGTTCAAGACCAGCCTGACCAACATGGTGAAACCCCGTCTTGAAAAAATAAAAATAAATAAACAAAAAATAAAATATAACTGACATGCTAAGAGGTAGAGATAAATGGAATCACATAAAATGTCGGCCGGGCGCAGTGGCTCAAGCCTGTAATCCCAGCACTTTGGGAGGCCGAGGCGGGTGGATCACAAGGTCAAGAGATCGAGACCATCCTGGTCAACATGGTGAAACCCCGTCTCTACTAAAAATACAAAAAATTAGCTGGGCATGGTGGCGCGTGCCTGTAATCCCAGCTACTCAGGAGGCTGAGGCAGGAGAATTGCCTGAACCCAGGAGGCGGAGGTTGCGGTGAGCCGAGATCGTGCCATTGCACTCCAGCCTGGGTAACAAGAGCGAAACTCCGTCTCAAAAAAAAAAAGTCAAAACCGGCCAGGCATGGTGGCTCACACCTATAATCCCAGGACTTTGGAAGGCCGAGGTGGGCGGATCACGAGGTCAAGAGATCAAGACCATCCTGGCCAACATGGTGAAACCCGTCTCTACTAAAAATACAAAAAAGTTAGCCAGGCAGCCAGGCACAGTGGCACCAGCCTGTGGTCCCAGCTACTCGGGAGGCTGAGGTGGAAGAATCACTTGAACCTAGGAGGCAGAGGTTGCAGTGAGCCGAGATCGGGCCATTGCACTCCAGCCTGGGTAACAAGAGCGAAACTCCATCTCAAAAAAAAAAAAAAGATTGTCAAGAGTAGATCAAAAAAACAAGACCCAACGGCATGTTGTATACAAGAAATGAACTTTAAATATACACGTGTAAGGCTAAAAGTAAATGAAGAGAGAAAGATTTAATGTGCTAACACTAATAAAAAGAAAATGGGAATAGTTACAGTGATCTCAGACCAAACTAAGTTTAGAGCAACGA